GAACTTTAGCGTTCTAGGTTCGAATTGGGTTATGGGTTTTGAATAGTTTTAGTCTGAGTTCTGGGTTTGAGACCTGGATTTGACTCTCACTATTGTCGTGTTGTCAAAGAGGTGACTTCTTGCTAATATCGGCCTGACGAGATGATCCCAGTGAGGGGTGAGTACCTTTAGGAAGTTCATGCCAAATGTTGACTCAGGACCTGTGAGCGAAGTTGTATTGACGAAACTGTTCGGTACCCGTCGGTAGTTGCGCTAGCACAAACACAAAAGTCATCGTGACCGAGGATATGAGTGTTCTCGCTTTGTGCAAATTGTTGATCACGCCAGATTATACGCTCTCTCCCAGTAGCTGTAACTATTGTCTGCTCAGCATAGTTGCAGTACAAACCATAAGTTAACCCTTTGGCTGTTGAAGAAGCACAAATACGCCTGAGCGGGTGTCTGCAACAGGGATTGGTTAACCAATCGGGCAGACAGGTGTACATACATAACATTTATAAGTATGTATATACATGTGCGTTTATTTATATATATGTACGTTTGTGTATGTGTGTTTGCGTGCGCGCGCGAGAATCGAAAATATAGATTTCATCCGACAAAATTATTAAGGGACAAATAGGAAAACCTTTATAAATTTGACATCTTTTGCTATTTTATTTTAGCTTCATCAGAATTTTTTGATAGTGAGGGAAAAGCGAAGATGTTTTGATGTTTTAAATTCAATATTGTTTGTTTTCATTGGCTGATAGATGTCACGTGTTCATTTTTATAGCGTTAGTATATGTGTGGGGAGTATCTAAATATTAGTGGGTGTTTCGTAAAGATATGCAGATGACACAGTACTGACAGAGGACACGGAAAAGAATCTAACAATCTCCTACAGAAGGTAGCGACGGAAAGTATGAAGAAGGGACTAAGCATAAACTACAAGAAAACAGAATGCATGGTCATCAGTAAAAGGATGAGCCCAAAATGTGATTTACAGGTCGGGGACACTAGAATCAAGAAAACTCGGAAGTTTAAATATCTGGGAAGCATTCTGTCAGAGGACGGTAAAAGGTGACACTGAGATCCTTAGACGTATTGAGATGACCAAGGAGCAATTCCAAAAGCTGGGCAGAGTATTGCGAGACAGGAAGATTTCTTTGGTTTGGTTTGTTATGTTTTACGGCATATCAACCTCATAGGGTTATTTAATGCCGACAACATTTTTGGGATATATTCGTATGAATAGAATATGTATTATTTGGTTTAGATTGGATTGGTTTATTTTGTTTTACGGCATATCAACCTCAATGGGTTATTTAATGTCGCCAACATTTTGGGGATATATTCGTATGAATAGAATATGTATTATTTGGTTTAAATTGATTGGTTTATTTTGTTTTACGGCATATCAACCTCAATGGGTTATTTAATGTCGCCAACATTTTTGGGATATATTCGTATGAATAGAATATGTATTATTTGGTTTAGATTGGATTGGTTTATTTTGTTTTACGGCATATCAACCTCAATGGGTTATTTAATGTCGCCAACATTTTTGGGATATATTCGTATGAATAGAATATGTATTATTTGGTTTAGATTGGATTGGTTTATTTTGTGTTACGGTATATCAACCTCAACGGGTTATTTAATGCCGACAACTTTTTTTTTTCCTGGTAATATTTTGTTTTGTCAAAATCTATTTCTGGTAATATTTTTTCCTGAAAAATGTATAGCTGGTAATATTATTTTAAAACATGTATTGCTGGTAACATTTTTTTTTTCAAAAATATATTGCTGTTAATAATTTTGTTTTTTTTTTTTCTTTTCTTCAAAAATTTATTTCTGGTAATAATTTTTTACAAAGTATTTCTGGTATTAAAACCTATTTTTACACTTTCATAATGCTTTTTACCTCATTTCAGGGTTAACTATTTGCCCATAGCCGGGACCTTAACAGGTACTACCACCCCGGGTCAGGGTGGACCTGAGAACATCAGCAATTAAGAGGTGGTTCCACGCTCCTCAAAACCTCCTGATCAGAGGCCTTGCTTTTGGACGTAGTTTATCGTCTTACCGAGGACGCGGATGTAGTTTATCGTCTTACCCAGGACGGGAGGATTTCTTTGGTAACGAAAAAAAGAATACTGAGCTGTTACTTGACATCTGCCCTTTACGCCAGCGAATGTTGGAAAAGATAAAGAAGAGACTCAAGACAACGGAGATGTGGTCATACAGAAAGATGCTAAGGATATCATGAACCGAACGTGTGAGCAACGTCGAGGTTTTTAAGAGGATGCAAACAAGGCGGAGGCTTATACTTAACATCAGGAAGAGGCAGCTAAAGTTCCTGGGAGACATAATGAGTAAGGAGGGCCTGGAGCTCACGTGTCGAATAGAGAGAAAGGGAGGCAAGGGAATACAACGCATGATATACCTAGCGGCTTTAAGCAAGTGGATGACAGAACGTGGTCTGGAGGAGGTGGCAATGAGAAGGAACATGTCGAGAGCTGCAATGGGAGGTGGAGTGACATGATCGCCTACGTCCTGTTAAAACACGGCACATAGAAAAGTGACTGTGCGTGAAACGGGTGGTATTAGTATATGCACAAGGCCAAAGCAGTTGAGAAAGGGAGAAATGCGGATCTTCACTGTCCTGAGCTAGCCACAACACTGACCCAATCAATGTACAACCTTTATTGTTCCTTTCTCCATAACATCGTATAAAAGTATACCAAAGTCACCAAAACAGCGTGCTCTCCATAAAAATTCTAATTAATCCCAATATTTACAATTCAAATGGAGAGGAATATCAAAATTGATTATGAACTCAAAGGATCTGCAATGTTATCGATCTTGACCTGGCATCTCGACTTCAATCCCTTTCTCACCAACGTGACGTGGCTTCCCTCTGTCTTTTCTACAAATATTTTCATGGCAACTCTTCTGGTGAGATTTTTCCCTGGTACCTCAACTACATGAATTTAAGCATGCTACTAGATTGGCAACTAGGTCTCACCGTTTTACTGTTGAACTAGCTAGATGCAACCGTAAGTTCTATCCCAATAGTTTCTTTTCTCGTGCATTTCACCTGATGAGATCCCTTCCGGTTTCTTACTTCCCTGTCAACTACAATCTACAAAGATTTAAATGCAACGTCAATCGCCAAATTCGGTCTTCCTGAACCCTGTTTCTTTATCGTCCTTTCCTCACTCCTTCTCACTAAAGTCTTCTCATTCTCTTTCACTCCCAGTAACTCCTTGCTTGGGGTGAAACGATTTAAAAAAGTAAAAAATTACAAAGCTTGTAAATAATTTACCATTCTATGTACAAACAGTCCGTTATGTGCCATGCATGACACATGACTAACGAGGCAGATTTTTCTTTCCAGCAGTAGGTTACCAATTCTTTCTACCGTAGACCAGTTGGTATAGAAAGCTATAGAGCCCGGTCTATCCTGCTATTTACCCATAGCTGAGTGGAGAAGAAGAGGATTACCTTTCCCAAGCGTATTAGCACGTAAGAATCAACTGGAATTCGAACTCGGCTCTCCGATTCCTCAATCCGAGCCGTTATCCATTATTCCACCGTGCCTCCCCGAGAAGAGCGCTAATGGTTTTTATTTACATCTTTATAAAATCCAGAGTAGCTCATATCCGAAATCCCTCATATCCGGAGTGACTCATATCCGGAATCGCACATATCCGGACATGATTTTGATGTGTATATTTGAACTATTTGGATGATATGTAACTGATTTGAAATTTCTGTTTTTCAGGAAATTTACTTTGGATAATTGCTTATGCTTCTTTCACCCTAATGGCTTGCATTGGTGCAAAAGATGATGGGAATAAGAGGAGAGGGTGAAAACGAGACACATCTGCAACAAGATTGCGACGAGGTGCATGATTGTGATGGAATCTGGACTGGAATTGAAAAAGCTATTGAAAAGGTTGTCAGTTTTATGGAAAGAAAGCCAGCATTCAGCTAGGACGATTGCAATAACGCACGCAGAGTTAAAAAGTGTCTTTCGTTTAGAAAATTCAAGAAAAAAAGCAAAATGAAATGCGGAAAAAGTTGAGAATGACATTAGAAGAGAAAGAATCATCATGCAACATCGATTAAAAAATCTTCGTTACATTATTTGTTTTGCATACATGGCATACTTAATTTAATGATTTTTCATTAACATTACATAATTAATTTTTTTTCTTAAAATCAATTCCGTTATGTTTCACTCACCATTAACTTATTTTATTTACTATAAAGTATTGAAAATAAATGTTAAATTTGATTTCAGTTCTTTTATTTTAATCTAAATATAACCCCTCATATCCGGACTTTGTAACCGGTCCTCATATCCGGAAGGCCTTCTTAGTCCGGTTGTTAGGGATTCTACTGTAATATTTACCAAGAACGGCTAAAGACGCATGCGCATGAAAGATGTTTATTATAGAAAAGATGAAGATTCACAGAGAAAGAAAATGGTAAAAAATATGTGTTGGCATTGGGGAGGAACCTAAAAAGCTTGCAGATATCGCGAATATCAGGTAGAAGAGAAAGTTGTTCAATTTGTTCTGGAGGGACGTTGTATAAGTTACCCTTGTTTACAGATCGATAATTGGTGTCCATTAGTCGTTGAATCAGGAACGTACTGACCATCTTAGCATTCAGGGCATCGGAGAATATTGTTGAACTGATCTGACAGTTGGCTAAACATAACGTACAAGCACTTTCGGTCGTCATTGAACATGGTAGACAGGTTCGATCTCAAGCTAACACTGGAATTTGATGGCATGGATCCCACTCAATTTGTCGGTGAATGAATCAAGAAGTCTGAGTTGGTATGTAGCTTTTATGGGGTAAAAGAGATCGAACATGTACTCGTGCTGCGTTCATCAGGTGTGACGTATTTGCACTTGACTGACAGGTGAGTCAGAAAGAGGAATGCAACATTAACTGTACCAAAGACGTATTGTGCATTCCTTTTGCCACTAACACGTTTGTAGCGTATGAGCAGTTTATATTGCGTCGCTTGCGTTCGGGTGAATCCATTGATGTATATTTTGGGTGTTGTTATGTCTTCTAGTCTGTGACGTAGACGTCCTTCCCGTGTGACGATTTACTTATTAGTCGTCGCTCGACTCGATGTAAAATACGGCAAGTTCATTTTGCCTTTGTCACTAAACCTTTCGGAAACGAAGAGATTTTATACCTTTCATTGGTCTGTGACTTCCCCGAACTATAATACGAGATTTCCCCCCTCCATCTCTCTCTCTCTCTCTCTCTCTCTCTTTTCTTCCTCTCTCTTGCTTCCTATCTTTGTCTCTCTCTTTCTCTCTCTTTCTTCCTCTCTCTCTCTTTCTCTTTCTCTCTCTGTCTTCCTCTCTCTTTCTTCTTCTCTCTTTCTTCTTCTCTCTGTCTTCCTCTCTCTTTCTTCTTCTCTCTTTCTTCCCCTCTCTTTCTTCCTCTCTCTCTTTTTCTTTGTCTCTTTCTTCATCTCTCTCTCTTTCTCTCTCTTTCTCTCTCTCTTTCTTCTTCTCTCTCTTTCTCTTCCTCTCTCTGCCTTCTTCCCTCTCCCTTTCTCTTTCTCTCTCTCTCCCTCTCTCTCTTTCTTTTTTTTCTCACTCTTTCTTCCTCTCTCTCTCTCTCTCTCTCTGTGATCCTGTGTTCTTCTTATTGGGGTCTGAATTCATCTTCATTCTGATCTTCCCAATCCATGTCGGATTTGTGCGAACTATCTTCCATAGTTTCTGTACTACTATGTACGCTTTATACAAAAGAAATACAAATGCTTCCCTCCTCCTCCTCTTCCTCCTCCTACTACTACTACTATTCCGCCTACTCCTCCTTCTCTATCTCAACTTTGTCATCAATTCTAGGCCTTATTTCATAAGAATGAACCAGTAACTTCTGTCCACTTATTGCTGTTATAGCCATATTATGATCCTTTTGTGCAATAAAGTTAGCTTTTTCAGGACTTGATTGGCTGTCTTTTTTGTACCACATTTTTACATTTATTGAATAGGACATTGTGATAGGCATTCTGATTTGTCTTCCTATCAATGCAGAAGGACTTTACATTCTACCAGCATGTGGAATAGTTCTATTGCTTGGTAATAGTCTCAGTAGGTAACTATCTATGGTGTCGCTGGTTGGAGAAAATGCCTTCAACCCCATATTCACCGTTTGCACTATTCGATTTCGGGTGGTATGGTGGTGTTTTATAAGGGAGTCATCCAATTTTTTTTAACCACAAACACAGCATTACCAGAGACTAACATTTTGGCACCCCATTTCTAGAAAATATCACTCATACTATTTGTTTTACCGTGACTGCCTTCCTATCCTGAACTCTAACCTCTTCAGTCCACCTAGAGAACGAGTCGACCCATATTAAAAAATAGTCCTATCCCTTTAAAATGTGCATGATCCATATAAACGCGGACCTATGGCTCTTTTTCTTCAGGCCATGAATGTATCTTGGTTTGGAAAAATATTTTATTTACCTACATTTTGGGCATTTTTGTACATATTTTTCTACATCGCGCGAATACACAGGCCACCACACTTCCAATTTTAATCATCTCTGTGTTGCTGTTATTTCGCAATGAAGATCATCGTGTACACGTTTTATTACATCTTTTATTAATCTTTCTGGTGGTATTAAAAGATCTCCATTGCATATAAAAAATTTTCTCTATAGTTAACTTGTGCCTGTCATCCTTATATGGTCTCTGCCCTAGAACAATCGCTCAATTTGTTTATTTTTATTTTACATACAATCTTGCTTAACACCAGATCCTGTAAGGTTTCAATTGCAAGATGATCTAAGATTTTTTAATCCAGTGCAATATTTTACCTTTTGAATTGTCTGATCTCTCCAATGGTTCATTACTTGAATTTTAGTTTTGACAGAGCATCTACATATGGAACAGCATTTCCTTTCACATATTTGATGCCGAAGTCAAAGGCCTTGAGCTTTATTGTCCATCTTAAAATTCTAGAAGATGTAACTTTAAGTAACCCTACCTGGGGTTAAAAATAAACTCTAAAGTTTTATGGTCAGATTTAAGTAGAAACTTCCTGCCTAATAAAAATTGGTGAGCTCTATGTGTGCTTCATATGACAGCTAATGCTTCTTTTTCAATATTTGAATAGTTAGCCTCGGTTGATATTAACCTTCTAGAAAGGCACATTATAGGATGACATTCTTGAGACAAAATCACTGATATGGCATGCTCACTTGATGATCATCTATAGTTAAAGTTACTTCTTTTTTAGGGTCAAAAATTTTTACAACAGTTTTTTTTATAAATTATTACTTTAAATTATTAAATACTGTATTTTGTCATTGAGTCCATTTAAATCCATTGTTCTTTTGTTATAAATCCGCAATAATAATCTGTTTCTTTTTTTTTTGTTGTTGTTGTTGTTTTAGTTCTTCTCTACTGGAAACACCAATACATATATCATCTTCATAGATGATCATATTCTTAATATCTGCAGCAAAAAAGGTACGGCTGTTTGGAGTACCCTGTCTTCTTTTCAATCACAATCGGTGAGACTACAATAAAACTCCACACACAAAGCAAAGGTGCCCAACTGACCCTACTATACTGTGCAGTCAACAAAATAAAATGCAAACTCCCATGAGCAAAATTAAAAATATAAAATGGCGACAATTTACCCATCGCACCCTGTATATGATAACCTTCTTGAGACAAAACTGCTGATATGGCATGCTCACGTCCATAGTTGAAGTCACTTTCTTTTTAGGGTAAAAAATTTTTACAATTGGATATTCTACCATTGAGTCCATTTAAATCCATTGTTCTTTTTTCATAACTCTGCAAATGGTTCTATCAATTCACTATACTTTGGCAAATATCTGCTGTAACCCTAAAACTCAAGAAACGGAATGGGAATGGATCGGCCACACACTCCGCAAGCCTGCTTTTAATGTCACCAGGCCGGCCCTTGACTGGAATCCACAAAGGAAGCGAAAAGTAGGTCGACCAAAACAGACTTGTCGGAGAAATGTTGACAGAAAGATGAAGGCAGTCGGCACGACATGGGCCGAGCTGAAGAAGATCACCCGGAACCGCATCCGTTGGGGAGGTGTTGTTACGGCCCTATGTTCCCAAAAGGAATTAAGATGCATAATGATGATGATTTAATTCTCGTTAACTTGTGAATAGCAGTTTCAATGCTAAGAGTTGGGAATTAATCGGAGCATTTTTTGCGGTTTACTCTTATTTTGTAATCCCCCACATATCCTTAAATCCGGTATTCATAAAAAACAATAGGTGAAGCCCAATTACTTCCACTAGGGGAACATGCTCTAAAATTTCTTGCTCCACCATTGTTTATAGTTTAGCAACTAATAAAGGTAGCATAAGAATGGGCAGTCTGTGAGACACAAAGTAAAAGGGCGGTGACTATTTTCTTTTAATTGAATGTTCGCTTTATATCCTTCTAACATCCCTATGCCATCACTTTCCAGCTTCACACTATTAATTAATTTGGTTGTATTCACTTTTTAAAACATCTATTCCCACAAGTCCATGACTCTCATTTCACGATTTGATAATTGTCTATTAATTTGATAATCATCTATTAAGACGATTTGATATAGTCTTAATAGATGATCATATTCTTAACATCACCAGTTAGTATATTTTCAAAGGTGCTTTGAAAAACAGCCCTTGCTGTTTTTATACCATAAGGCATACACTTTCATCTGAGTTAGCCTTTCGGAGTGTTAGCGTAGTGACCTCTTTAAATTTTTTATAAATTTGTATCTGGTTACAGACAGATTTGAGGTCAATTTTAACAAATTATTTTGTTTCTGACTACTTGTGAATAGCAGTTTCAATGCTAGGAGTCGGAAATGAAACGGAGCATATTTTGTGGTTTACTCCTATTTTGTAATCCCCACATATCCCTAAATCCAGTATTCATAAAAAAACAATATGTGAAGCCCAATTACTACCACTAGGGGAACATGCTCTAAAATTCCTTGCTCCACCATTGTTTTTAGTTTAGCAACTAATAAAGGTAGCATGTGAATGGACAGTCTGTGAGACACAAATTAAGAGGGCAAGTGACTATTTTATTTTTAGTGCTCACTTTGAATCTTTTAATATCCCAGTGTCGTTATTTTCCAGTTTCACACTGTTAATTATTCTGGTTGTTTCTACTTTTAAGATCTCTGTTGCTAGGAGTCCATGACTTTTCTCACATGTCCCTGCCGTGATGGGAATAATTACGAATCGTGAGTCGGTCTCAAAAGTTCCTTCAAAACAAAGATGAAAGAACCATCGACCTGTTTTCGTTTAAGTCAACTTTTCTTTAATTTCGATTTTCCCATTCGTTCTCAGAAATTTATTGGGATTTGGATGACATCGCTCCCGATATCTACTTGCATAGGAAAAATTAGACCATTTTACTCCAATAGCTCAATGTCTCGCACTTTCCATCTGTGGAACTTCCTTCCTCTTACTTGCTTCCCTGATAGCTATAATCTTCAACTATTCAAATGTAATGTCAACCGACATCTCCTGACGCCTTGATCTATTTCACCGTCCTTCTCTTCATCCTTTCCTCTATTACGCCTCTTTACTCTTACTCCCACTCTCTGTAAACCCTTATGTGCTAGTGGCACTCCCATCTTGCTTGGGATGAAATGCTTAAAAAAATTAATTTAACTTTTTCTCTGCTATTTTTCTCTTTGTCTTTGTATCGCAAATACAGCTGTATTTTCCTGGGGGTAGTTTTTTTTTACCCTTTCTATTTTCCTTTTATACTAGTACACAGACTGGAAATGGTTTTTCTTTTCACAATTCTAGCCTACTTGTCCTAAAGTTGGACATTTTTTCTTGTCCTGTTCATGCTTTTTATCACACTATTTGCATCTCACAAGGTAATTTGATATGCTGCATGATTCAGCATTGCTCTTTGATGTATTGGATTTCTTAATTAACTCTAATTGTTACAGAAACTTTATAAATGCATCCAATGACAGTTTAGTCAGTTGTAACTATTCTAAAATTTTGTGTTTGTATGAAGCATCACACATATCTTCAACATTCAATTAATCTCAACTGTATCAACTCACTATTTACATTATTCGGACTATTGTCCGAATAATGTAAATAATGTACATAATACCTCATCTCAGAAATATAGACAGACTCTGTATCAACTCATCTTTGATGGTCATTTCTCCCGTGCCAAGTTTTACAGACTCACAGAATCTGGAAGTCTTTCGTAGCTTGTGTATATACTGTATTACTGTTTTGTTCAGTTCTTGTTTGCTCGCAAGAAATTTTGTTCTTTCAACAATAATCAACTTCTTTTTCAGTTGTAAATTTCTCTTTATTTTATTGAGATTGGGGTAACATTACTCCAAGTATCTAATTGCATAGGAAAAGTTATGCCATTCAATTTAATTTTTTTTTCTTTGGCACTTTTCTCTTTATGTCTTTGTATTGCAAATGCAGCTGTATTTTCCTGAGGGGATTAGGGTAAATTTTCTACTCTTTGTATTTTCCATTTTTATGTTTGGACACAGACTGGAAGTGTTTTTTTTCTTTTCACAATTCCTACTTGTCATAAAGCTGCACATTTCTTTTTACCCTATTCATGGTTTTTATCACAG